AATGAACACTCCCAAGAAGGGCCTCGCCAAAATTCAGGGCTCCCAAATCAAAGAAAAAGTACAAGCATCCAGAAAGAAGCAGTTCAAGTACCAAGGAACCAGTCAGGTTTGCACAGGACTTGACAGCTTCTATAAAAAATCAGAGGAGAGGGGCGGAGCCATGATGGCAGGGTAAAAGCAGTGACTTGCTTGAGCTCTTCCCCAAACCCCTCCAAATACCTATAAAGAATGGCTCTAAACAAATTCTAGAGCAGCAGGACATCCAAAAAGAAGAGTGAAACAAATTTCCAACGCCAGATAACCTGGATGGTTGATTGGAAAGGTCTTTTGTGCCAGGCTGGGAGAGGAGCGCAGTTCAGCATGGGTGTACAGGCAAAGATCAGGCCTCAGCGAACCTGGAGCAGGCCTCAGGGGACTGAATCACAGACAGCTGTGGTGGTTTCCAGACTTCTCAATCCACAAATGCCAAAGACAATTTAAAACAACAGCAGGAAAGTTCTGTGACTGCAGTGAGAGAGGAACTCGGTGCCAGCCCCAGTCCCAGAGCAGCCCTGGGTTGGTGGCTGCTTCCAGAGCTCCCAGCTCACAGACTGAGGGGGAATCAAGTAGCTGATCAGAGGAGGATTGCAGGGATCTCTTTGCTGGTGCTGAGGCAGGATTCTCTTGCTTTGCCCATGCTTGGATCTAGGTCACAGTTCTGGGAGGTAGTCCTGGGGCGAGGAGGAGTGTTGGCATGGTAGAGCTTGTAGTGACAGTAAAGAGGGAATCCTCCTCACAGTTCCAAGACAGAAAAGAGTGCTTGAGTTCACTCAGTTCCAAGAGAGAAAAGAGTGCTTGAGTTCACTCATAGACCAGAGCCCAGGCCAGGAAAGGAGTAAACACCTCGCCCTTGATCATACCACCTTGGAAGAACAGAAAATTTACAGGTCCCTAGAAGTATCTCTGAAAACAGCTGCACAAAACCCCTAAAGATTGGGACAGTACATTCTCCACACTGGAAGCAGACCACTACCTTAACAAAGAGTTTAAAACTCAAGTCATTGGCCAGGAAACCAAACCGCACAAAAAGGAAAGTCAGACCATGGAATCTTACTTTGGTGACAAAGAAGATCAAAACATACAACCAGAAGAAGACAACAAAGTCAAAGCCCCTACATCCAAGGCTTCCAAGAAAAATATGAATCAGTCCCAGGCCTTGAAAGAGCTCAAAAGGGATTTTGAGAAGCAAGAAAAGAAGTAGAGGAAAAACTGGGAAGAGAAATGAGAGTGATGCAAGAAAATCATGAAAAACAAGTCAACAGCTTGCTAAAGAAGGCCCAAAAAAATACTGAAGAAAATAATACCTTAAAAAATAGACTAACCCAAATGGCAAAAAAAAGGTCCAAAAAGCCAATGAAGAGAAAAATACCTTCAAAAGCAGAATTGGCCAAATGGAAAAGGAAGTCCAAAAGCTCACTAAAGAAAATACTTCCTTAAAAATTAGAATGGAGCAAATGGAAGCTAGTGACTTTATGAGAAATCAAGACACTGTAAAACAAATCCAAAAGAATGAAAAATTAGAAAACAATGTGAAATATCTCATTGGAAAAACAACTGACCTGGAAACTAGATCCAGGAGAGAGAATTTAAAAATTATTGGACTATTTGAAAGCCATGATCAAAAAAAGAGCCTAGACATCATCCTTCAAGAAATTATCCAGGAAAACTGTCCTGCTATTTTAGAACCAGAGGGCAAAATAGAAATTGAAAGAATCCACCAATCTCCTCCTGAAAGAGATCCCCAAAGGAAAACTCCTAGGAATATTGTAGCCAAATTCCAGAGTTCCTATGTCACGGAGAAAATATTACAAGCAGCCAGAAAGAAACAATTCAAGTATTGTGGAAATACAATCAGAATAACACAAGATTCAGTAGCTTCTACATTAAGGGACAGGAGGGCTTAGAATATAACATTCCAGAGGTCAAAGGAGATAGGATTACAGCCAAGAATCACCTACCCAGAAAAACTGAGTATAATCCTTCAGGGGAAAAAATGGAAAGTCAGTGAAATGGAGGACTTTCAAGCATTCTTGATGAAAAGACCAGAGCTGAATAGAAAATATGACTTTCAAATACGAGACTCAAGAGAAGCATGTAGAGGTAAACAGGAAAGAGAAATCATAAGGGACTTATTAAAGTTGAACTGTTTACATTCCTGCATGGAAAGATGATATTTGTAACTCATAAGACCTTTGTCAGTATTGGGGTAGTTGGAGGGAAAAAACAATTATATGTATGTATGGATAGATAGATAGATAGACAAACAGAAAGACAGATAGACAGACAGATAGATAGATAGACAGATAGATGGCACAGGGTCAGTTGAAGATGAAGAAGTGATATCTAGAGAATAAAATTAAGGGGTGAGAGAGGATTATACTGGGAGAAGGAGAAAGGGAGAGGTAGAATGGGGTAAAACAGACAAAAAAAGGCTTTTACAGTGGAGGGGAAGCAGGGGAAGGTGACAGAGAATGAGTGAAAACTTATTCTCATCAGATGGGACTTAAGTAGGGAATACCATATACACTCAATTGGGTATGGAAATTTATCTTACCCTACAGGAAAATAGGAGGGAAGGGGATAAGACAGCAAGGGGAATGATAGAGGGGAGGACAGATTGGGGGAGCAGGTAATCAGAAGCAAACACTTCTGAGGAGAGACAGGATCAAAACAGAGAATAGAATAAATGGGGGGTGGAATAGGATGAAGGGAAATATAGTTAATTTTTCACAACATGACTACTATGGAAGTGTTTTGCATGACTACACATGTATAACCTGTATTGAGTTGCTAGCCTTCTCAATGAGGGTAGGTGGGGAAGGAGGAAGGGAGAAAATTTGGAACTCAAAGTTTTAAAAACAAATGTTAAAAACTGTTTTCACATTTAACTGGGAAATAAGATATACAGGCAATGGGGTACAGAAATCTATCCTGCCCTACAGGAAAATAGAAGGGGAACAGGATAAGAGAAGGGGGGGTTGGAATAGAAGGGAGGGCACATTAGGAGAAGGGGTACTCAGAATGCACATCATCTTGGGGTGGGAGGAGGGACAAGATGGGCAGAAAATTTGGAACTCAAAATCTTGTTTAAGTGAATGTTGAAAACTAGAAATAAATAAATTAATTTAAGAATCAGAAGAGAACTGGGAACACAAAATTTCAAAAGGCAAAACATATACTTATAATAAGAATAACTTACTCTGTAGAACTTGGTATAATCCTACAAGGGGGAAAATGGAATATAGAACTTTCAAGCCTTTCTGCTGTAAAGATAAAAGCTAAGTAGGAACTTTGAAATACAAACAACAATAGTCTAGAGAAGTCTAGAAAGTTAAATTCATTTGGGAATTTGGAAGGTGTTGTATGACAATGTAGTTAGTTAACTATCACTTATTAAGCATCTACTATGGGACAGGTACTGTGCGAAGTACAAAGGATACAAAGAAAGGTAAGACAGTCCTTGCTATCAAGAAGCTTTAGTCTTAATGATGGAAACAATATGCAAAGAACTACGTACAAACAAAACACACAGAGGATAAATTGAAGATAATCATCAAAGGGAAGGTATTATAAATTAGGTGGATTGGGAAAGGCTTCTTGCAGAAGGTGGAACTTCGATTGAGACTTAAAAGAATCCATGGACACTAGGAAGGGACTTGAGGAGAGAAAGATTTTCAGACATGGGGGATGGCCAATGCAAATACATGGAGTTGGGAGATGGAGTGTCATGTGCAAGGAACAGCTGGAAGGCCAGTGTCCCTGGATTGAAGTGTATATGGAAAGGTATAAGATGTAAGAAGACTGGAAAGGTAGGGTGGGAAGTAACAATTGTCCCTTCAGAACTTTAATGTCTTCAAAGGGTATTTAGGGAGTTAAACAAGGAAAACAGAGGACCTGAGAGTAGACTGCTTCTGTTTTGACAGTTTTCAAAGGGGAAAAAAAAGGGAAAGTAAAAATGGTACTGTAGAAAAGAGGAAAATGACAGTAGAACTTGCTATTTTTCATAATTGGAGTTAGTAAGAAAAGTATACAAACATGGAGGAAGGAGAAGGGGGAATGGACATTAGATGAGACTCACTCTTATCTGAAATGAAAAAAGAAGGGTTGAACACACATATACAAATATTTTAATGCAGAAATATATCAAACTCAACAGGGAAACAAACAAGGGGAAGTAGGGCAATATGACAGATAACACCAGGGAAAGAAAGCCATAAGCAAAACAAACTTCTTGATCTTGAAGTGGTGAGTTAAAGGGGAAAAAAAGAAAAAATTAGAATCTGAACTCGTGGCCATCAATTTTGGAATGGATGAAGAAATCCTAGTATATGAATGTAGTTAGAATATTATTGAGGGGTAGAATGACAAAAGAGATGATTTCAGAGAATCTATGAACTAATGCAGAGTAAAGTGCAGAAAAGAGAAGAACAATGTACACAACTACAATAACGTTGTAAAGAAAACCAACTCTTAAAAGATTTAAGGACTCTCTTCAATGCAGTATCACCAACTATGTCTCCAGAGAACACAGGATAAAGCATGTTACTTCTTGACAGAGACTTGTTGTACTCAAGGTGCATAAAGAAACATATTTTTGGACAAGGCCACTGTGGGGCTTCGTTTTGCTCCGCTATTCTTGTTTGTAACAAGGGTTTTCTGTGGGTTTTTTTTTTGTCTTGGTCTTTGGTCTTAATTTGGCATTGTGTGGGGTAAAGGGTTTAATAAATATTTATTGACTGACTGACAATGCAGTGTACAAGCACTAAATTAGCACAACATATATAACTTCTCAATGAGATTGTACACACATGTAAACAGGCAAGTCAAAGAATGACCAATCATTAAAAAAACATATGTTCACTACAGCTGCAATGTATTCAGCTTTATTTTAAAATGTTATAAGAGAAAAAGAAAGAGGTTTTCTCAAAGATATACTGAAATCATAAACATGTTTGACTTACCTGCGGCTAGCTGATTTCTTCTCTATTTCTTTATCTATTCCCTTAGCAGATTTAACATTTTCACTTCTATCCTTTTTCAATTTTTTGGCAATTCGTTCTTTCATTAGATTCTTTTCATCGCTATCATCTTCTTCACATTCATCTTCATTCTAGAGAATAAAATTTAATATCTGCCTAGGTAACAATTATCCCAACAAGCACTGAGAAAAAAAGATAAATATTTCGCCCATTGTTCATTTCTTACGTATGCTGTATAACATTTCTCCAGTAAATTGTTTTTAATGAATACAGGCTTATGGTGTTTCATTGCTGGCCACAAAACATATGTTCATTCATTTAACAAACATTCACTGATCCATTATGACTGCATCACTGTGCTAGAAACTGCTGATGAATGATATAAAGAAAAAAAAGACAAAGATTCTTCCTTCCAAGAATATATAATTGATACTTCCTGCTCAGGTACAAAAGAATTCTCTACTTGTTAAATAGCTGCATTTCATTGACTTAAAGTGCCTTGCCTATTCACATATTAATAGAAAAATGACCTTTACAGTTTTTTAGTCATATGGTCATCACCGACTTATTTTTAAAATTTAAATCTTAATAAACTCCTGGGTGACAAACCTATAATGCAAAACTATGTGTATGCAAGTAGAATAATAGCTTAAAGAAAAAATACTGAAGCTATTATTTCTCACATATATTTTACAAATACTTCATGTAAAACATCTAACCATGGACATTTACATTAATATTACAAAATTAATTACATTTGAAATTTAAGCCATCTACAAATAGTGCAAAACTCTTTATAAAAAAGTTATTACTCACATCATCTGAATCTCCTGTCATCGAATCTGTGCCCTTTTCACTAAAAGGAAACAGAAGACCCACATAAATTTCAGATTCTCACTGAAATTAATAAAAATACTAAACAAGTGAAAAAAGTACAGCCTACTTTCCAGACACATCAGATCAACTATACTCATTTCACTTGGGTCTTGTTTTTCAACATGCATGTCAAAGCTGATACACAATTTAAAAAGCTACATTAAGTTATTACTGTTCAATAGGAGTCACTCTTTACTCACACAAATGAAGCTTGCTGACTTGTGAGAAGAAAGAGAAACTGTCAAACAGATTTATTATGTCACTGAACCAGATTGAGGGTCCAGGACATTTCTAATGTCAACATGTTGAAAAATCTTTGGGAAGAAGCTCCTATCATATCAATTCTAGTTAAAGAATAGTCTTTCTATTCACATATTCTTAAATGTTTTGCTCCAAGTGAGACTTCTCAAAATGTGTTAACCTTAAGAAACTAGCACTTTACTCCCTCTCTCAACTGTAGCCCTCCAACATGTCACAAACTATCATTCATAAAATTCAATGACAGTGTGCAAATAGATATGTTGAGCTACTCCTATGTCTAAGTTCCAGAATTTCTTGGACCACAACCCAATGAACAGGCTGAATAAAAGCACAGTACCTATCAAGGAAGACTGCATTTAACAGGATCACCAAAGTAAGATGTAAAAAGAATTTGAGAAAATAATTCTATTCATAGAAAAATAGACTAAATAGTCAGTCAACTAATCAAGTACCAACTAATCAGAGACAACCTAATCAAAAGCTATCCTTCACCTGCAAAGGGAAGCAACACAGACCATAATTTGTTGTATTCCAGAGGGCAAAAAATAATATTCAATGGTTTAAACCAAAACATGACTGCTTGTTCTTAGAAGAGAGATTCAAGCATTATACTTCAATGAAAACATTAATATAGCTGAAACAATTTTTATGAAAAATTTAGTTCAAGTACATCACCACTGTGGCAAACCAGATTTTAATTAAACATCAAATTTCTGAAGAAAACTCTGAATAAAGAAAACATTTTCGACTGACAAAGCTTTAAAATTAAAACAATTTGTTTTGTAAGTTCAATAGCAATAATAACAGAGGGAGAGAGTTTAGGAGGTTTTTCTCTCCAATTTGAAACTCAAAGACAAGTTTGATGAACTGCTGATAAGTGAAGAAAATGAAATTTAAGATTACACGCCCTTGAGAGATCAATGACACTACAAAGGGGGAATTAAAATACTATGTGCAATATATCCCCCCCAAAAACACACACACACACACACACACACACACACACACACACACACACACGAACTTGAGATTGCACTAATGTGATAACTAACCTTTCAACAACTGGAACTGAACTGAGATGTGGATCATCCTTGAGCAAGTCATGACTACTTTTGCTTTTTCCCTTCATGCTCTGAAAAATAACATTTAATAAAAATTATATTATGAATGGAGCAGAGTTTACCACCAAAAGCGTAGCATGGTATGGTACCAAGAGTGCTGGACTTGTCATCAAAAGAGACCTGGTTTCAAATCCTAGTTCTGTCACTTATTAGTTGGATGACCTTGAACATCTCTAGGATAACAAAGTCCTCGGGCTTTGAAAGCTGTTCACAACCTGGTTCCAAGTTCTTTCCAGTCTCATTATACATTATTACCCATCCCACATTCTATGATGAAGCCAAATTCGCCTCTTCCCTATTCCTCATGCACAGTATGCCACCTCCATCACTGTGCTGGCCACGTCCCATGCTTGGAATGCACTACCTCTTCATCTCTGAATCAAAGAATACCTTCTTTCAAGATGCAGTTCAAGTACCATTTTCTAAATGAAACTTTTCCTGATCCCCCTATACCTCTAAAGTAATAAGAGTGAATTTTAAATAAACATAACAGAGCCTATAAATCCAAATAAATATTGTCCTTCCTGACAGCTTCTTTGACAAATCATTTATCCTTGAATTCTCACTCCTTTGTAGCAATCATACTCTTCTGCTTCCATATTATCAATTCTTTTTAAAGATGCTCTGATCAGCAGACTCAATACTGTACTGAAGCTGTACCCATTAAGGAAATACTTTCCTACTTCTTCGGATTCCTGAAGGTACCTGCAACCTCAAAACATCAACCCAGAGTCAGAAAAATGCATGTTAATTCCACAGAGTCTCCCTTGCCTAACCATACTGAGGGCATTCACAAAACTGCGCCATAAAAATGATTCTGCCCTCTAACCAGCAAGAACAAGAGTGACGAAGTCCAGTCAACGGTTCCTATCTTTACCCTGTTTTCCCAGAGCACAATGCTGGGGAAATTTCTAACCAGAATTAAATCTCATTCTCCATCTTCAGAAATCCCTCTCAGAATGGCTAGAAGGAAGGAGTAGAAGATAGAGAAAGAAGTGACACAGCCTTCTGCAGTCAACAGACAAGATCTGATCAACGGTAAGAAAATAAATCTCAGCTAACGTTAGAAGGGAACTTGAAAAATACAATGGAATTAGATATAAATTACAATTTTAAACCCTTGCTTAGACTTGGTAGTGATGAATAGACAAATTATCATTGAATTATTTTCTAATTATATTTATACAATACTAAATAATGGAAAAAATGGAAAAACATTCATTAAAATGCAGCATGATGTAACGGAAAAGGCAATACTTCATTAGTCACTACTCCCAGCTCTATCAACAGTCATGTGAGTTTCAGGAAATACATTTAATCTTTCAAAGTCTGTTTCCAAATTTGTATTAAAAAAAAAAGGGTCCACTATTATTTTCCTGTTACTTCAGGGGTCATTGCAAGGGTGAAATGAGATGAAGGATATGAAAGCACTTTGCAAATTATAAGGTGCTATATAAATAAAATACTTATAGTTGTAAATATACATGTATATATGTATGTTGGTGTATATATGTAAAATATGCTATTTAAAACATATATACAATATAGCCATACCTTATAGATACTGCAGGTTCAGTTCAAGACCACCACAATAAAGCAAATATCAAAATAAAGAGAGTCACACAAATTTTTTGGCTTCCCAGCGCATATAAAAGTTATGTTTTACCCTATACTCTAGTCTATTAAGTGTGCAAGAATATTATGTCTAAAAAAAACCAATGTACATACCTTACTTAAAAAATACTTTATTGCCAAAAAATGTTAACCATCATTTGAGCCTCCAGCAAGTCACAATCTTTTTGTTGGTTGAAGTCTTGCCTCAATTTGATGGCTGCTCCCTGATCAAGGGGATGGTTCCTAAAGGCTGAGATGACTGTGGCAATCTCTTAAAATAAGAAAACAATGAAGTTTGCCACATCAATTGACTCTTCCTTTCGCTTGAACACTTAGGGTGATTAATTAATCAATGTAGGGTTATTAATTGGCCTAATTTCAATATTGTGTCTCAGAGAATTGGGAGGCCTGAGGAGGAGAAAGAGAGGGGAATGGGAGGTTGGTAGAGCACTCAGAATACATACAACATTTATCAATTAAGTTTGCTGTCTTATATGGGCACGATTTGTGGCACCCCAAAACAATTACAATAGTAACATCAAAGATCACCGATCACAGATCACAAATCACCATAATAGATATAATAAGGAAAAAGTTTGAAATATTACGAGAATTACCAAAATGTGACACAGAGACACAAAATGAATAAATGTTATTGGAAAAATGGCACTAATAGACTTGCTTGATGCAGGATTGCCACAAGCCCTTAATTTGTAACAATATTTGTGAAGTGCAGTAAAGCTAAGTATAATAAAACAAGGTACGCCTCTATGTTTACAACGATAAGCTGGATGTATATACACATATACACACACACACACACATACATATATGTGTGGATGTATAGATAGATGTATAGATATATGTAAGTAGATATATCTACATATACACATACATATGTATATATGCCTAGTATAATGAAAAAACAAAATCTTCACAGTTTTCTTCATATCATTTTTCCCACCTAATCCCTCTCTAATCAACAATGATCAATGTTTAACATTTCTTTTAAGACCTGCCTCAAACTGCCTCTGATTAAGCCACCCCATTCTGATCTCTCTTATGTTGTACACTGGCTAAAGAATGGTCATTGACAAAAACATCAACCAGAGTCAAAGTAGGGTCCTGCAGCATGTCATTCAAGGCTTTCCTTCAGGGTGTCACTGGTTCATCAAATCAACGGACTTTGGTTAAATTACCTAGTCTCTCACAACTTTCCCGAGAATGTTTTTTCAAGATTTCTCCTTTCCCCATCATATTAAATGAATATGTACAGATAGCACAATTTTCCATCTTGTTGCTGTACAGTTGTGTCTGACTTTTTGTGACCCTGTGGACCATACTGTCTATTAGATTTTCTTGGCAAAAATAATGGAGTGGTTTACCATTTTCTTCTCCAGTGGACTGAGGCAAACAGAAGTTAAATGACTTGCCCAGGGTCACACAGCTAGTAAATGTCTGAGGCCACATTTGAATTCAGGTCTTCCTGACTCCAGGCCCAGTGTTCTATCCACCGAACCACCTAGGTGCCTCTAACTTCTCATCTGCTCCGTCCTAACAGATGGAGACTCTGAGCTCTTTGATGACAAAGATTTCATATTTTTTTTCTTTGTGTTTCCAGTGCCTAGCATGATGCCTTACATGCAGAAGCTATAATTTCATCAAAAATAGGGAGTTCCACTAATGCATTGTTGGTGGAGTTGTGAAATGATCCAACCATTTTGGACAGCAATTTGGTAACTATGCCCAAAGGGCTACAAAAATATGCATACCCTTTGACCCAGCAATAGCACTTCTAGGGCTATATCCCAAAGAGATCACACAAATGGGAAAAGGACCTACATGTACAAAAATATTCATAGCAGCTCTTTTTGTGGTGGCAAAGAATTAGAAATTGAGAGGATGCCCATCAATTGGGGAATGGCTGAGAAAGTTGTGGTATATGAATGTGATGGAATATCATTGTGCTATAAGAAATGATGAACAGGCTGACTTCAGAAAAACCTGGAAAGACTTGTATGGTCTGATGCTGAGTGAAGTGAGCAGGACCAAGAGAATGTTGTACACAATAACAGCCACGTTGTGTGATGACTAATATTGATAAACTTAACGCTTCCTGGCAATACAAGGATCTAAGACATCTCCAGAGGCCTTGTGATGGAAAATGCTATCCACATCCAAAGAAAGAACTATGGAAGCCGAACTGTTATTTTTTTTTCTCTTCTGTTGAGTTTTGTTTCTTCTTTATGATGGTTCCTCCTATTAGTTTTAATTTCTACTTACAACATCACTAATGTGCAAATATGTTTAATATGAACGTAATTGTATAGCCTATTTCAGATTGTGCACCGTCTTGGGGAGGTTGGTGGGGAGGAAAGAGGAGAAAAATTACAAACTCAAAAGCATATGGAAGTGATTACTGATAAATCAAAATAAATTAATAATAAAATAAAAGAAAAAAAAGAAAAATTAATAATAGGGAGTTCCGACACTAGGAAGTTCTTCTGCAAACTCCCTGAACCAAAGCAGATCATAACCCACCTATGATTTAGTAGTTAAAGTCTTAGGAAATTGCCTAAGGTATATGGGTTAAGTGACCTGTCCAAGGTCACATAGTTATTAATGTCAGAGAAGATCTGAACTCTGATCTTCCTGACTCTAAAACCTGCATTTTATTTATTATGATTTTTTAAAATACCTCTTGATTATACATGTGCGGTACCTGATAAATGTTTGAACTGAAATGATAGTTCATATTTACAGTTAATGTAAATATTACCAACTCCATTTTACAAACGAGGGACCTGAAGGTCTGAAAGTATAAGAGATTGATTTTTAGCCACCTAGTTAATGATTTCTCAATAATTCTTACTCCAAGCCCAGCGTTGCTGTTTTATATAAACCACACCAAGCTTCCTCTGTGTGCCACACTGCCCCCTGCTAATAAAACCAACCTAACTATCCTATTATGCAGGTACTTTTCTCTTTTTTTTTTCATAAGACTGTCATGAAAAATACTGCCAAATGCTTTATGAAGTCAAGTATATGTTTATTGCATTTCCCTAACGTACTTGTTTAATAAGACTATTAAAAAAAATGGAAATCAGGCTCATTTGACAAGTCACAGTGTCTCAGAACTTCAGTTTTCTCATTTGTAAAATGATGAGGTTGGATGAAATGATCTCTATAATATTCTATACAAAAATTTTGTGAGGCAGTAGAGAAGAACTGAGTAAAGAATGGAAAAAAAACTCAGAGAACCCGAAGGTAAAGGAAGGCAAACCATGATTTGTCAGAATCAGATGAAGAAGACTCTGCAACAAAATGCTGAATATCCCTATATCGTCTTTCTTATTTTTATACAGTAAAGTCGAGTTCAAGCTTCACTCATTCTTAATTTGTAATCATTTAGACAGGGTCAGTGGGCAGAGGTTTACCACTGAACCACTGATGAGAAAATGAACTTTCTAAGAAAAAGAATGAAATAAATTCATCTCCAATTGTTCTGAAATACCCATTTATGTCTAAACAATGTAATCTTAATGTCAGCAAAGAACTTTAAATGAGATTAATTAAAAAACATTTTTAACCAACTCCAAAAGATTAAGTAATCATTTATAATAAATCTACTTTATGAGAAGCACTGGGAGTACAAAGACAAAAATAATTCATTAAAGCTAACACTTAGTTTAGTCTAGATTTTTTTTTAAAAGGCAATAGGGATTAAGTGACTTGCGCAGGGTCACACAGCTAGTGTCAAGTGTCTGGTCTGAGGCCAGATTTGAACTCATGTCCTCCTGACTTCAGGGCCGGTGCTCTACCCATTGCGCCACCTAGCTGCACCTTAGTCTAGATATTTTTACCATAGCTACTTGAAAAAGAATAAAGCTGAATTTCTTTTAAAACATTCCTAAGACTTCTCACAAATTCAGGCAGAACTTCTCTCCAATTGGTTATCTTTTACTGTACACATACACACATACACACACATATACACATAAAACTTCATGTTTCTGTGGTGGTTACAGAGAGAAAATATGCACTATTATATCAATTCCTCCTATCATCCATCCCTTAAGAAAATATTCCACCCAAGAATATTTTCCTTCTCTTATACTACATACTTTCTAGTTGCTACCTCTAGCTTTCCATGAAATTTCTTTTTTTTTTTTTTTTTTGTTTTAGGCAATTGGGGTTAAGTGACTTGCCCAGGGTCACACAGCTAGTACGTGTCAAGTGTCTGGTCTGAAGCTGAATTTGGGCCGGTGCTCTATCTACTGCGCCACCTAGCTGCCCCCCATTAAATTTCTATTAATTGTGGCTAGTACCAAAATAATAAAATGATTTAGAATAATGTTTTCCCTTGCACATTGCCGTTTTACCAGTATTCATGAGAATGAAATATTATATATGATAACACGATGAGTTGTCATGCCAGTTATTTGCTAGAACACTGGCTTTTAATATCCTCATTGAAGAAGAACAAATTATATTCAGTCTTTCAATAGATTATAGTAGTTTTTCATCTTTTTAAGAAAGAAAAAAGTGTTCTAGAGTTTGGAAGTAACATGTCATACATAGTAGCATTCTTATCCCCTTTAAGCTTAGTTGGGACAAATTGCTTTTGTAGCACACCATGTACAATATTCAGTAGACCTTAAGTATATATATAGTTTTCCATTTCACGGAACAGTAACTAAGAGCAGCAGGAAAAAGGAGATAAGTTCCATTTCCAAAACACACGCTGTTATAGCAAAGTAAAAGAAATATGAAGTAATTTTTTATGAGGCCAATTCTGAAAAATAATTGCCTAAAAAATTTTTTTATACTAAAAGTATTTTTAAATGAATGAAATTAACTTTCACATTAAAGTTATTAAATTTCAAATGTGTGATTTAAGCTTACAGAAATGAATTTTTAAAAGACCTACTGATCAGTAAACTTTCCTGTAAAAATTCCCTTCTGCCTCATGTTATTATGCCTCAATACTTCAATAGATCAGAGATCTCATCACAAATCCAAAGGTGAAGATCTAACCCACACTTCTGTATTCAGTAGGACTCTGATAAAATTCTCTTCCACAGAGTATTTGCCCAATATGGCCTTTTAAAATTCCATGGGCACTAGTACAAGCATTCAGGTTGCAAATCCATTATCCTGTCCAAGATAGATGTACTGAGAGACTAACTCATGTCATAGTCTGAGCCATAAGCTTGGATTGGAAGGTCAGTCTCTTTTGAGTGGCCAAGAATTTGCCTGAAGAGATTCTGCATTATTTCAAGAACTTCATGCAATGAGCACAGCATCATCTAGGAGCAGACGAGCTCATCAAAGAACAAGAGACAAGGACAGAACCCTAGAGAACATCTCCACTTAGGACAGGCAGTGGGCACAATACCATCGATGATCAGGAGTATCTGGGAGCAGATGAGATCATTGAGAGAGAGAAGAAAGAGACACCAGGATAAAGCCCTTGTGGATACCCACAATTAAAAGACAAGAAGCAAGTGATGACCCAGCAGTCAGAGAGGACAGTGTCACAGATGACAAGAGTACCTATGACAAGGTGGTCAACAGCATCAAAAACTGCAAGAAAGTCAAGGAGAACAGAGATTAAGAAAAGGTCACTGAATTTAGATGTAAAGTGTTAGCTGATGATTCTGAGAGAGCAGTTTTAGAGCTGAAAGCCACATCTCAAGGGATAGAGAATAGAAAGTAAGGAATTCAAGGCAGATAGTAAAGATTACTTTTTTCTACGAGTTTTAACAGGTAATGAGTGCTGAACTTAGAGTGATGGGACCTGAGTTCAAATCAAAGCTCAGACACTCACAACCTTGTCTGACTCTGGGCAGGGCACTTCAGGCACAACTTTGGCCTCAATTTCCTCATCTGTAAAATGATGAGGTTGGAATAGATAACTCTTCAAGTTCACTTCCAGCTTGAAATCTATGATCCTCTAAACACAGAAAGCAAATAGAAATACAGGACAATAGCTTGGATGAAAATTCTTTTAAGGGTTGGGAGATCTAAATATAGAAGGAGCAAGTAAATAAGACTGAAAAATGAGAAAGATAGGAAAGGATTCATTAATAATGAATTATTATTCCATGTTCCTCATAGGAGAGACACTGGGATTAATTAGATTGAGGTGATAGGGAGAGGTTAAGCCTTGGCAAGAAGAGCAACTTCATTCTGAGCCTAGAGCAAAGGAGAAGTAATTAGGGAAGAGGTTTTGAGAAGAGTAGAAGAGATGAGAAATGATGTGGCTTTTCTCAGCAAAGTAAGGACAACATTATCTGCTGAGAGAGGAGGCAAGTGGTATACACTGACAAATATGGATGATATCTTTGATGGTAGAAAGGGGAAATCATAAATGGCAATGATAAAAAAATTCAAACATTGGTACCAATTATTTTAAATATGGAAGGAGTTTTAAATTGGTTAGACTTTGGGGGAGAGACAAAATCTAGGTAGATATGTTTCTAGAAACTTCCTAAAAGTTAAAAAATTCATAAAGAAAGGCTCTGCCACCTTCACTGAGAGAACATCCACACACATGCAAAAGCTCCACCCTGTGATAAAAGAAAAATCAATAAAGCAAAGGGAACAAATCATTCCCATTTTTAATTTGGAAAAGTTCAATTTCTGAAGGAATGGATCTGAAATACATTCAAAATAGTAACTTAAGGTTTTCTAACTTCTATTACAATAAAAATACAAGAATAAAATACCTAAGGATAATGCAGGCTAGAGTGCAGAAATCTTATAAAGTACAAATCCATGCTATCCAGTAAAATACACAAATACTAAACAGATAAGCTTTCTTCCAATCAAGAGGCCCATGTAAATTCCACATAAGCCACAACTTCTCTTCAAAAAGGTCCATTAGAGTTTAGAATTCCAAATCTTCATCCTGTCAATTTTCACATATTGTCTAAAAGGAGTGAATGAGCAGAGGTGAAAGTGACTTGAGAAATGCACCTCTTAAGGTGAATTTGAGAACTGCACTATCCTCTACCCTTTTAGAGGAAATAGGACAAGGAGGAAAAAAAATGGTCTTTGTGCTGTCTCTAACAATTTTAGCCTGCTTTGTAGCTCTGAGTCTGAAAGTCAGCACTCCTGAAAAGCCAGAACCCAGTGTGTGTGTCTAGCTTTAAGAAACTTCACTAGATAGAAAAGAAAAAAGAAGAGTGATAGACTAAATAGATTTTAAATTTCCCAAAATGTATCAAAACAATTGAGTCAAAAGAAAAAACAAATTGCAATTTCACCTGACTAACTCGGTTTACTTCTTCTTCTTCCTCTTCAGCTTCTTCTCCAAATGAAAGTAAACTAAAATTTCTAGTAAAAGAAAAAGATTCATAAAACAGCATTCAAAAGTATCTTGTTTTCATTGCCAAGAAACAGACTTAAATTTTCAAGAGCAAATATGTACTTGCTATTGAAATGCACTTTTATCTAAATTTGCTTTACTAAATACTTCCTAAATGAAAACAAAAAAATTAGGCCTTTGCCACAGAGCACAGATGTTCTCAAGTTGTTAGCTCAACTTGCAAAAATCAAACCAAAATTCACCCTAGGATCTACATATTCATATATTTTGACATAATCATCACTCCAAGAGAGAATTAAAAATCTCTGAACTTGCCAAATGGCTAGTTACATAACTGAAATTTCTGAAAATCTTGCAAATGCTTACCCTAAAAACCCTGAAAGGATAAAACAATACATTATGTACCAAAATAATCTGTAACATCTCATTTTACTCATTAAAATCTGCTATGCAAAAATTGTATACAAATAAAAATACCATGCAAAAATGGATATTGGAGGAAATCGGGCATTGTCTTACTCTTCCTTAATTCCTCAATCTAAAATGAGAGGCAATTAGGTTTAATGGAATAAACCCTGGAAAAGTCAGAAGACGTAGGTTTTAGTCTTAGCTTTGCTTATTACTGGCTTTCTAACTTGAAACAATTTACTTTGCTCTCTAGCCCTCATTTGTGAAATGAAGGGGTTGAATTCGACTAGAAGTTTTTGACCCCAGGGGCCCACAGCCCCTAAAGAGATTTGTAGATGGATTTTGGGAGGTCTGTGAACTCAAATGGGAAAAAAATTACATGCTTATTTCACTCTAACTGGTTTCCTTTGTAATCCTACGTATTTTACTACATGCATTTAATAACATGATTCTGAAAGGGGTTTATAGGTTTCATCAGACTGCCAAAGGGGTCCACGACACAAAACATGGTTAAGAACCCCTGGATTAGATCATCTCTATGGTCCTTTTTAATGTTAATGCTCTGTAATTCAAAGCCCAACTAAAATAAGTGGCAAATTATCATTCTTTCATCTCAACTTGTTTTACTCAACTATGAGAGAAAAATGATATAAAGAAGTGAAAAATGGAGAAGGCTTGACAGATCATTAGTATTAGAAGTGAATGCTTTCTGCAGGATGTAGAGGCAGTGAAAGCATCAATTCTGTAACTGACTGACTGACTGATTTAGTCTGGGTCTGTCATTTCCCTGGCATAGGGTAGCTCCCAGTGAGGAAATGCCCTCTACCAGACACAGTTTGGCAACCATTAAGCAACATATAATCTAAGAGGGTTGCTTTTGGCAATGAGAGGTTAAGTTACTTTTCCAGAATCTGGGCCTTAAACACAGATCTTCCTAGATGTGAGGTTGATCTTTCATCTCCTACACCAGAAGGCCTCTCTTGTATATTGTCAGAAAAAAATTACTTACAATTTTTGTCATATGCCCTGAAAAATCAATACAAATGTCAATAATGGTGACATTTCACACAAATAACACTAACCAGAATGAAGCAAAGAAATAAATTAAATTCTGAGCTAGGTAAGAAGTTATCTTGCAATAATGAGTCATTTTATAATTTGATCCCTATTAATATCTGCCAGATTATTAACCTGTTTTGAAATATAAGTAGAAGAATAAAACCTAATAATTTAGAATCCATTTATTCTGAATTTGTGATGGGGCCTAGAAGGAAGTTTATCTTTTTAATATCAATTAAAGAAACAAACCCAAAAGATTTGCTAAGTAAATTAAGGATAAAGAGAGCACTGTGTAAGAAATTTTAAAACTGATTAAAAGCACAAACTGTTTTAAATCAACTTGCCTGAATCCCTTTACATACAGTTTGTCATAAATCATAAATTTTTACCATCTACTCACTAAAGCAAATTCTTTAAGAACATCTATTAGGCAACTTTATAAGCTTGGATTTTAACTACATATTTGAAAGCATTCAATCCACATTTAAAAACATTCTATAATTCTATTTTAAGTAATTCAAACTAGTCTTCTACCAACTACTGCAAATTAGGAAAATTGATGAATTAGTAGTACTTTTTCACATTTGAGTAAAATTCTTATATTGTGATTACTTTGTGCCTTTAGTTGTTAATTTCTTTACTTCATCTTCTGGTTTGTCCTTTTTTGGCTTCTTATTCTCTCTTGGTATGATGTCATCAAAAGGATTAAACAAAACCTAGGAAAAGTAACATTTAAAATATGATTTAACTATTTTAAAATATTTCCACATAGCAACCTTATTTAATAATTTCTCAGGTTTTCCCTAGTGCAATATTTTTCCATTATCCAGCCATCTGTCTTATATCTCTTTAAATAATTTTTTTCACTTTTATATAGACTCAATAAGTAAATAGAGCAATAATCTGAATAGGACTGAACACAGTAAGATGATCCAGAGTTCTCACATCCTTCACACTTTCTATGGGTCACATACAAGTATTTATGTGAATTTCTTTTGCTTGACTATACTTATTTGTTATAAGGGTTTTTTTTCTTTTTCTCAGTTAACAGGGTAAGTATGTACCAGCAGAAAAGGGGATAGCAATAGTGATGCCAAAAAAAAAAAAAAAGGAGAGAAAGAACCACTGAAACATTTCTTTAAATGCACAGAAGAGAGCAGAAAAGAAGTTCAGAGGAAAGCACAGACTAGCAAGATAGTTCTGAAAGTAATGTATAGAATTTATTATGCTTTTTCTAAAGCAAACTGAGAAAGACAGAGATTCCAGTTTCACAAAGAATCCTCATTTTGTGTTCTGCTATGTATATGTTGCTATATGGAAACAAGATGTGGTAAATCACTATGTCTGAAGAACTAAAGAGGAGTATTACAGAAGATAGTGGTGAGGCATATGGTAGGTGTGAAAAAAATGCAGTATATAACCAGTGTTCAACTCTAAAGGAGTAAAGAACGTCATTAAGGAGTATTATGACAGTAAGAGAAAATGGGCTAATCACACGGCAAGAGCATGGAACAACAAGTGGAGAGCCAGAAGGCTCTATTGGTACCCTCATGATGAGAGGAGAAAGTGATAAAGGCCCCCATCGACTGGACCCCCTGCAGAAAACTGTTGGGAGAACACAAAAAGAGTAACATGGGATAGGTGGACATGGACAAGTTGCAACATGCACCATTGGAAGGAACTCCCTAAATGATGACATCAGAGATTTGAGTATTTAAATATCTTGTAATGGAAACTAAAGAAACCATCAAAATGTGATGGCTTATGTTTCCTTAATAGATCATTACAGAGATGTTGGCAAACCTTTTTCATTTCATATCTATTTGTTATCCCTCAATCAGCTGCACCTAAGAATTCTCTTAAAGAATGATGTGGCTTATGTGGGTCTCATGCCAAATTTTATGTGGACTTGTATTTGCTTCCATTTTAGAGTCAGGGGATATTTAAAGACCACGTGATTCTTAGCCCCCCTTCATCTTTGTTCTGCCAATCTACCACTATCACTGAAGAAGCAGAGAGGCACAGGACTAAGAGGCACTTTTCTTTTTCTTGGATTTGGCCAGACCAAAGAATTCATCACCTAGTTGTCAAGCACACGTATACACATGCATGCATATGTCATATATACATATATAGTACCTGGAAATATTACAAATATACATACATATGTAATATATATACATACATATATATATTACTTCAATCAAAGGTTTCAAAGAATTGATGGTAATTTATTCAAGGTACAAACCTCATCAAAAGTATCCTAAATACCCACCTCACAATTTCTTATTTTATGTGGATTAAGTGGCCTTTCTTCTTCATTAATGTCCACTTCTGTTAATCTCAGCATATTGTATACTGTGTCTCCTGTTACCTATCAAATGTTGAAAATATAGTTAATAATGATTAAGGTTTTTTCAAATATTTAAAATAAAAAGATGTTTTTAATATTAGAACATTGAAGTATATGCATTACTTAATATAGCAAACAATACTATTTCCTCAAAAGAAAAAAATACACAAATGGACTAATTTCATAGAAATGACCTCCTCAATATGACCTTCTCCTAAGTAACTCAGAGAAGTGGGACATCTTGGACATCTCCTCATTTCCCATCCAACAGCACTTGCTTTGGACCTCCCTGGATTTTCCAGCAGCACTCATTTTGGACCTTTTTGACTTCCCCACTACACCCCTCCTCCCCACCAGGTGTGTTCTTCTCTACCTCCTTGGCTTTCTTTTTATGTATTGCCTTCCCCTATTAGACTGTGAGCACCTTGACATCAGAAGCTGCCTTTCTTTTTAGAATTTATGTCCCAGTGGTTAGCATACTGCCTGGCACATAGTAAGCACCTAACAAATGTTTCGTGACTAGAAGAGCATTTTTTTCGAAGCTAGTCAAAAAACTTATGCTTAAGAATCTGAGAAAAATCTGTCCCACAAAGTAGATTTAGAACAGTCAATTTATAAAAGTACATACAAGATGGTCAAGTGTATAACAATGACCTCACGTTCACCACTGAAATCCCAAATATTCCAACAAGATTAGCAAGTCATTGGCATTTTTAAAAAGAAAAAAAAAACCCAAAATCTATAATCTCAAGTCCCTCTTCAGTAGAGTGGCCAGAGCAGGAGATTCTAATTGCTTATTTTCTAGGCCACCTAGCAGTAGTCATGAGGATTGATAACTTTATCTCAAGTTTCCATTGTTCTCCAGTTTAAAAACATTTAATATTTGTCGTGGGTTTCTAATTTAATTTTAATAACTGTGTTTATATGGCTTTCCTCCATGATGATCATAGATTCCAGTTTTGATCAAAGAGGGACAAGTGGATCACAATAAACCAGCAGAGGGAGCTATTGACCTATGGAACTAAAATGTCAGGTTTTGGTTTTTTGGTTTTTTTTTTAATTTCTTGTGGTAAAACTGGAGATGGAAGTTGGTACAGTGGTTCAGAGACTTCAAAAAAAAGTTTACTGAAAATTCAATCAAAGAATACAGAAATTAATAAATTCTAAATAAGAATTCGTTTTGGAACAGAATCTAAACATGCTGAAAAGATGATATATCAATCAACTTAAATATAAGTTCTTTCCATTTTAAACATTAATAATGCTATCAGTAAAATTAATTATACACAGTCAAATTTTATCAGCCAATAAACATTTATTAAGTACCTACTATGTGCTAGGCAGTGTGCTAAATGCTGGAAATACAAAAAGAGGCAAAAGATAGTCCTGTCCTCAAGGAGCTCACAATCTAATAAGCAAACAAATATGTACAAAGAAGCTATGTGTTAGGATAAACAGGAAAAAAATTAACACATTGAAGGCACTAGAATTGAGAGAGGTTGGGAGAGGCTCCCAGAAGAAGATGGGATTTTAGTTGAGACTTGTACTTAATCACTAAAAATTCATCTAAGAAAATAGACTAAATTATATCACAAGTAGCATATGATTACAATTGTTTTGGGGAAAAAAAAATTTTTTTAAACCCCAAATCCTTTAGAAGCAAAAAACCTTGAAAGTCCTGGCTACTTGTCAATTCTATTTGCTATGACAAAATTTCTATATAGACAAAAGAATTGAGCAGTCCTGCAGAGTCCATTGTTACAGGATTTGACCATTTGATAAACATTGAAAAAAAAGGTGAATAAAAGGAAACAATAACCAATTCACAAATGTTGGAAAACCAAAAATTTTGGAGACATAAAACTTAATAAGAAACAAAAGTGGATTTTTGAAATGAGAACTGAACACCCACCTTTCCAAAAATGGTATGTTTATTGTTAAGTTCATCTGCACGACCCAAGGTAAAGAAAAACTGGCTGCCATTATCATGAGGTCCAGCATTTGCCATGGCAACCAGTCCTCTCCGATTAAAACGCAATCGTGAGTGAAATTCATCCTGTAGCATAAAAAAGAAAAGGTTAAGTGTGTAAGCTCAGTTTAGTCAATGTTCATTTGGTTGGCAGAATCCTACATATATTTTATTTTCTATTCAAAATTTCTTTTTTTTTTTAATGGAACTGATTTTCAAGTATGACAAAAGTCTATATTTACTTATCATAAGTAACAATATCTCTTGGAAATGTAGGAAGAGATCAGGTTGACAAGAGCTTTGAATGTCAAACAGGGGATTTTAAATCTGTGGTAATCAAGTCACTGGAGTTTACTGAGATGGCAGGGAGAGGAGAGAAGAGATGACATGATCAGACCTATACTTTAGGAAAATCACTTTGACAGCTGAGTAGCAAAAGATTGGAGTGGGAGGAGACTTGAGGCAGAAGACCAATCAGAAGGCTATTGCTATAATCCAGACAAGAGATGGTAAGGGCCTGAACTAGTGTGATGGCTGCATGAGTAGAGAGAAGAGGATATACCTGAGAAATGTTGAGAATGTTGAAATGATAAGATTTGTCAATAGACAGGAAATATGGTGTTAATTAGAATAAGGAATCTAGAATGACATTGAGGTTGCAAGCCTCAGTGACTAAGAAGATAATAACTTTGACAGAAACAGGAAAGTTCAGAAGAGAAAGATACTGAGCTCTGTTTTAGATGTGTTTTGAGGTGCCTGCAGAACATCCAGTTCAAGATGGTAATATGAAACTAAAACTCAGGTGAAAGACATCAGCCGGATGAATAGCTCTGGGAATCATCACCATAGAGATGATAATGGACATGATGGGAACTGATGAGAGCACCAAATGAGATGGAATATGAGGGAAAAAAGTAGAGGGCCAAGGACAGTAAACTGAGGAGTGGTTGGACAAAGAAAAAGAACTAGGAGAGAGCAGGGTCATGAAATCTAGAGAGGAAAAAGCATCCTAAAGAGAACAGTGATCAACATGTCAAGTTCTACAGAGATCAAGAAGGATGAGGACTGAAAATAGGTCATTAGATTTGGTGACAAGAAAACAATGATAATTTTGGAGAAGGCAATTTTAGCTGATATCAGAAAATAGACTATCCAGGGTTTAAAGGGAAAGAAGAATTAGAAACACTTAACATACAGGGGTTCTCAAGGAGTTTAGCAAAGAAGGGAAAGAGAGATATAGCAAGCCACCTAGCAGGGATGGCCAGATCAAGTGAGTTTTTAAAGATCAGGAGAGTCATGGGCATACTTATAGGAAGAAGGAAAGGAGTCAATAGCTAAGAAGAGATTGAAAATTGGACAGAGAATAAGACAAGATAGTGGGAGTAATCTGCTAGAGAAGATGAGAGGGGATAGTATCAAAGATCCATACAGAAGAGTTTGCCAAGCAATAAGGGTCTTGCCTTTTAGGGTCCTCTCACTAATAAATACACCCCTATCAAACATCAGCACGTTATATATTTAGGATGTTCACAGATTTGTGGAAGCTGCTTGGGTGTCTGAATACATTTACTAAATTATTCTGTCATCCAAGTAAGTGCAGCATTTGTTTCCACCTTATCCCATTCTATCCCCATTACACTTTGGGGACCCAAGAAACTGCCTATCCTTCCCTTCTCCTCTATTAACAGTGGCAAATGAGCAGTTGGCTTATTTTAAATGCATGTATAGCATTTTATTTGTCTAAACCTTTCTATACACTTGGTATGATCTCATCCTCCAATATTCAGATGGGCCAATTTGTCTAAAAATGTCTTTTTTCTAAATATAAGCTATAATATTTCATTTATTTCATTAACCTAATAGTAGGCAACTGACTTAAATTCAATACTACAAAAGTGTTAAGTGGTATACACAAAAAAGTGTTAAGTTGTATATACAAAATCTAGCTGGGGATACAAAGACAAAAAGCAGCTCCTACTCTTAAGTAATTTACATTTTTTCTGGGGGGTAGGGGCAAAGGCTAGGACTCATTAATAGCAAGTGTTTCTTCAAAGGGAAGTTCCCTTTGAAAAATTAAATAATTCTCAATCCACCTCAATAATTTTCAATCCCACAACTCTGTCTGAAATACTTACATCATATACCACACAAGATATTACCATTTGGTGGAAATATGTTTAATATGATCGTACATGTATGACTTGTATCAGATTGCATGTCACCATGGGGAGGGAAACGGGGAAGGAGAGGGAGAAAATTTAAAACTCAAAATCTTATAAAAGTGAATGTTGAAAACTAAAAATAAATAAATAACTTTTTAAAAAGGTGGGGAGGACCTACCTGTGCAAAAATATTTATAGCAGCCCTTTTCATGGTGGCAAAATATTGGAAACTGAGGGGATGCCCATCAACTGGGGAATGGCTGAACAAGCTGTGGTATACGAATGTAATGGAATACTATTGTGCAATAAGAAATGATGGACAGGCAGATTTCAAAAAACACGGAAAGACTTTATGAACTGATGCAAAGTGAAAAGAGCAGAACCAGGAAAACATTGTATACAGTATCAACAACATTATGTGATGATTACTTGTGAATGACCCAGCTCTTCTCACCAACACAATGATCCAAGACAAGTACAAACGACTCACAAAGTAAAATGCTATCCACATCAGTTAAAAAACTGATAAACTCTGAATGCAGATCAAAGCATACTTTTTTTACCTACTTTATTTTGTTTTTTTTCCTTTTGATCTGTTTCTTTTTTCATAACTGTGACTAATATGGAAATGTTTTACATGCTAGCACATGAATAATCTACATCAGAATGCCTAGAGAAGAGGGGAGGGAGGAAAAAGGGAAGGAGAAAAATTGGTACTGAAAATCCTGTAAAAATAAATGCTAAAAACTCTCTTGACATGTAATTAGGAAACAAATAAAATACTATTTAAAAAAAGATATTACCATTTGTATAGTCTAACAAGACAAACAATCACCTATAAACAGTAAACGAAAAATCAAATACAACGTCAATTGGATTTGCCATGTCAATCTGATCTTACACTAATTCATGTCAGAAGAAAAGAAGAATACTCCTGTCTGTACAACATATTCTTAAAACATGAAACATCTCACAACCTATAAGTGTTTCAGAGAAGTATGAAGCTTTGTGGTATCTATTCCACATTTTTAAGAACATCGTCACTAGAAACTATGGCAAAATTTAAATATTTTTTAAAGATTTAAAAAATGAACAAGTGATAGCAAGGAGAAGGAAACTGTACTTGAGAATGCTAATAATGCTGTTTACTTTTCTACAGCCCTTTAAGAGGCATTAATAAGAGCTAACTTAATATTTTGCACATTATCTCTTTTCATCTTCACAACTACTCACTTAGGTAGGTAGTCAAAGTACTATCGTCCTTGTTTTGCAGGTAGAGTAAGAATAATCAATCTTCCCACATTCATTTGGCTTGTGAAGACTGGAGGCCTTCAAGGCCCTAGGAATCTAAGTGCAATTACTGGCTCATAGAACTCTCAATACAAGGATCTTTGGTTTTAAAAAAAAATTGCTGTCCTTCCTCATTCAAAGAAGAACTATAGGAATAATATAGAAATAGAATAAACTTTTAAGTAACTCTGTCATTCTCATTCCCATAAATACAAACATCATCAATTCCTTTTTCTTTTAAATTTATGTTAGTGGTTTTAAAAAAAAGATCACTAGTCTATTCTTGATCATTATTTTATTTTTCCTTTCAAATCCAAGTTTGGGGTTTTTATTCTTGCCATAGGCTTTATTTGATTTCTTTTTTTGGCATGTATTCTGTGTTATGGCACACTATCACACAAAATTAGCAAAACAAAATAGATGCACTTTAAAGCTTAAATAAAACTGTTGAAAATAAAATGTCATATGCAATATCCTAAAAGCTTTCCATTTTTCTTTATTTGAAGAAATCAAATGAAGCCAGATTTCACTGCAATTGATACATTCTTCATTTCTGAACCAGTATCTTTTCCTGTCATCACCTTATACCTGGGCTCAATTCCATCTAACCTCACAGACTCAAATAATTTGCCTCTGCTAAGAATAGAAAAGCTTTGTTAGTTGAAGTGCTGCCATTTATGAAATACTGACTAAATGACTGCTCCTTTCATAGCCTACCTTACATCATTAATTGGTTCAAAGAAAACACTTTGGTAAAACAAAGTTGCAAAGGTGGAAGTTAATTCCATAGCAACAACATTACAAATGGAAAATCTGTTTCCCAGTAAGCACCATCTATAAAAACTAAAATTGGTCTGTAGTTGACACTACAACAGGCCTGAGCATGGTATGGATGCCTGAGTTCAGAAAGACCCCTGAAGTTTAAAGCTGTGGAGTGAGGATTCTAGGGCAAATTGACTTTAAAACCAAAGCAAGGTATACACTAAGAGACTAGAAGCAAAACAGAAAGAGGGGTTATCTCTTTCTTCCTCTGGACTGCCCAAACCTCTAGTTTAAAGGTCAGGTAGTTAGTCAGTTAATCAATCAATATTCATTTAAGACCCTACTATGTACCAGGCAAATGACAATCCGTGCTCTCAAGGAGCTCACAGTCTAATGGAAGAGACAATGACAATATGAAAACAAGTATGTACAAACAAGCTATTGACAGTTTAAGTGAGAAATGATGAAAAGAGGTTTCTTAAAGAAGGTGGGACTTTAGGTGGGACTTGAAAGAAGCCGGGGGTAAAGGTGAAGACAGAGAATCCCAGATATGAAAGATAGCCTGTGAAAATGCCCAGAGTTAGGGCAGCTAGGTGGCGCAGTGGATAGAGCACCAGCCCTGAAGTCAGGAGGATCTGAGTTCAAATCTGGCCTCAGACCGAACACTTGACACTTACTAGCTGTGTGACCCTGGGCAAGTCACTTAACCCCAATTGCCAAAAAAAAAGAAAAGAAAAGAAAAGAAAATGCCCAGAGTCTGGAGATGGAGAGTTTTGTGTCAAAGAACAGCAAGAAGGCCAGTGTCACTGAATCACAAAGCACATGGTGAGGAGTAAGGTGTAATTAGACTGGAAAGGTGGGAGGAAAGCAGGT